GGGGTTGGGGTTGGGTTAAAAGAACAAGAAACATGGATTGTGATAAAGTGTAAGGCAAGCCTATTCACTCACTATTATGTGCACTTTATTCTGTTCCAATTTGATACATTGCTGTTACTATTTACTAATCAAAACGAGGCTGCGTTTGAAGAAAAAGAAAAGAAAATCCCTTTTCTTTCTCTCTCTCTCTCTCTGATAATTGCATAATCTTGCTCTTAAGTTGAAGTCTTGTCTCATTCCATTGCGTGGTTCTCGAGTTGGGCACTTTTGTTCTACTGTATTTCCATTAAAGTCTCTCATTTCTCTAGTGCAGCATTGCCAATATACATACACACAAACATATATATGTATATGAACTTTACAAGAGTAATTGTTGAGTTCTCTTCAGGGGTTCCATGAAGAAATTATGCCCAGGAAGTAGAATGCTGAAAATTGAAGATTTTAAGAAAATCACAAAAGCCCATTTGGGATTTTAATCAAAATTTGCATGAAAGTAGGATTCAACCTCTTCAGAAGACATAACAAATAGTGAACTTTAAACGGTTCATATTTTCTTTATTATTGTTTTTTTTAAATTGGAAAAAGATCTGAATTTGTGGAAAGAGGGGGGGTGGGGAGTGGGGGAATAGGAAGTGAGTAAAGAGTGCCGCATGAAGAAATAGGTGAAACAATGAGAGGTGAAAATTCCCAGAAAAGCAAGGTCTATTCCCATGATTTTCCTGGGAAATGAATTATTTGATACTTATATTGAATTTTTTTTGCTGACTATTTTCCTTTTTTTTTTTTTTTTTGGGGCAACATGAAGCTCTCATGGTCAAAGAGACTTGTTAGAAAATGGTTCAATATCAATTGTAAAAGTGAGGAATTTCATGCTGACGAAGTTCACAAAGGTAACTGTGCGATTTCTGGATTTTGTGGGCTTGATTTGCTTTGGGTATACTTCATTTTCTAGTAGTCCTTGATTCCTGTTTTGGGGTTTTTTTGTCTGATTGACATTTTTCTTTATTAATTTCTTGATTGATAGATAGATAGATAGTATTCGAAATTTTTTGACATTACTCACCTCTTTTCTGCTGTTTTGTTCATTTCTTTTGTCCTGTCTTAATCTTTTATGTTACTTACACAGTTGGAATTTTGCTGCGTGGAAAATCAAGAAATTAAACAGTTTAAGAATGTTTCAGTTTTCTTGTTTTGTCTTCTATTGATATAATAATATTTTAGCTTATTTTTCATCAGTTTTATCCTGGGTTTTTCATTTTGTGACAGTAAAAAATGGAGAAGTGAAGTTAGATTTGCTATGTTATTTAAAATCTTATTTTTATTTTTATTCCCTCTCCATTATCTACTGAATTTGTTCAGTATGGCTTTTTTAATCTTGCTTTTCGAGTGGAAAGATTATAATTCCATGTGTTGGTAGAATGTTGATCTCAGATATCAATTAACTCTATTTGATTTGAGGACTGAATTGTTAATAATCACTCTTTCTAGATGGTGATGTTGAATGGAGGAATAACTTTACAGAGAGGGAGCCATGCACAATCAAGACAAGCAGAACAGGTTTTTTGGCTTATAGTTTTACTTTCTAGATCACACATCCAAAATTCTGAAAATTCACTGATATATGTTGAAATTGCCGATAAATTGACTTTTATTACTGATATATGTATACATATTTATTTATATAATTAAACTTTGTATATTTTATATTTGTTTAATGGAACTTACCCTTCTCTGTTAATGCATTAATCTTAATTTCTTTGTCCCTTTTCTGTTTTACAGAAAAATTGGCCAAGAACATTGAGCGTTCGCATTCTCATTCTCGTTCCCGTTCCAGACGAGGGAGAGGCTATCTCGATCACCCGCAGATTATAAATGTCCAGAATTATAGGTATGTCTCTTTCGTAGACATTCTTCATATGATAAGCTTCAATTTGTAATTGAATTTCATAACAATTTGCATCTTCTGGAGCAGCCTCTTTGTCTCAACATGGAATGTGGGAGGAAAATCACCGCCTAGCAACATGAATCTAGATGACTGGCTACATTCTTCACCTCCTGCAGACATTTATGTACTGGGGTAAGATTTCACTTGGCGATTTGTGCATTTATACTTTGCTTATTCTTCGCCTAACAAAAGTTTTTATTTTCTTTCACTATTTAGATTTCAAGAAATAGTACCATTGAATGCCAGTAATATTCTGGGCGCCGAAGACAATGGCCCTGGTAAAAAATGGCTCCATCTTATAAGAAAAACATTAAACAATGCTCCAGGAACTAGTACAGGCAGTGGATGTTCGTCTCCTATCCCTGATCCAATTGCTGAATGGAATGCAGATTTTGAGGGATCAATCAGGAAAAAGGCCTCTTGTTTGTTCCCTCGTCAATCTTTTCAGACACCACAACATTGGAGAATGGAGAATGACATCCCGCAACCTCGCCTTGATAGGAGATTTAGTGTTTGCGACCGGGTGATTTTGGGTCACAGGGCTAGTGATTTTGATCCAAATACCAGATGGGGTTACAGGCCTAGCGATTGTTATTCTAGTCAGAGGCCTAGTGATTATTCCTCCAGTCACCGTCTGAGTGACTACTCCTCTGGCCGCCGGTCAAGTGACTATTCGTGGGGCCAGAGGCCGAGTGACTATTCGTGTGGTCGGAGGCCGAGTGACTTCTCTAGATGGGGTTCAGAGGATGATTATGTGCCTGGGAATTCGCCCAGTACTGTTTTGTATTCACCAATGCCCTACAATGGACATGCACCAATGGAAGAGGGATACAGACTGCCTGAGCATTTGAGATACTGTCTAGTTGCCAGCAAGCAAATGGTAGGCATTTTTCTCACAGTATGGGTTCGGAGTGAATTGCAGGAACATGTCCGGAACATGAAAGTATCGTGTGTTGGCAGAGGATTGATGGGTTACCTTAGAAATAAGGTATTTCTTCCTAGGATTATTGAATATGATGGGTTACTTAAGTGTTCCTAGATGTCATTCAGAAAATAATTAATGCTTTCTTTTGCAGGGCTCCATTGCTATCAGCATGCTATTGCATCAGACTAGCCTTTGTTTCGTGTGCAGTCACTTGACTTCAGGTCAGAAGGATGGCGATGAACTACGTAGAAATGCTGATGTTATGGAAATCCTAAGGAAAACGAGGTTCC